AGTGTCCTACGTTCTCGAATGCTGCACTGGTACTGCAAAAGCAAAAACAATGCACGCTCAATCAAAAAAGTGGTGGATACAAGCTCACTTAAATCCCAACTCACTCGCTCCCTAAGTAGACATGAGAAATTAATTCTCTCGCGCACAGAGACCCGAGTAAGGTATTTTTCGAGGAAAGATCCTCACTTGCATGGAGGTAGTCGGTTCTTATTTCTGAGAACTATGGTGTCTCATGGTGGGCCGCGTTCCACACTCAACCGCAACTCAATGCGATGCAGGTTCGGATCCCATGCTCTTCTGTTGACAAAGGAAATGGTTTTTGCGTGATTGCAGGCTCAGTTCAACCCAGTCCCTTACCTTCCTTTGCCTGCCGTATAGTAGTAGATAAGAGAACTGTGTGGGATGAATATAACTGCCTGCCAAGGGGGGGAATGATGGTTATTGTTGTCCGGGGCACGACTACCAATTTTCCACGTATCACGGTGGTGGGGTCGGCGAATATATTTCCTGGGGTGTCATTTATTTCCCACAGAGAAACTAATGCAAAAAATGCAATAAGATATTTCATGACTAGCGTATCTCAGTTTCTAACTCAAATTCAATAAAGCCAGCGCCCAGGCGTCGAAAGAGTTCCAGCTGCAAAAGAAACGAGGTCAAGGAAAAGTAACGAGTTTCCCAGTCAGGCATGTTTCCATACCCCCTCATCTGAGGTACATCCTACGTGCAGGTGAGGGTATTGTTGGATACCCAATTTATAGATGCATTGCATGTCATTTGAGTTCAGTATCATTCTGGTTGGTGGAGTGCCCTGAGGCGGGTTTTTGCTTCGACTTCTATCACAATCGGGCTTATCTTTAGGAAAATTCGACTGTCGTACAGGACCAGACCCTCAGATTTCGAAAAATTGAAGTTTTAAACCCAAGAAAAAATAGGCTCTATTCCATCCAGTTTCATATTAGTAATGCGGCGAGAGAGTCTCACAGTTTGCAGAGATAAGAACAGAAGAAGATATATTGGCACAAATGTATACGTATACATGTATGTACACCGTTACTATACCACTATGGATTTGTTCAAATGTGCTTCAGCTCAAGTGAGATTGAAGCAGATCTAAACTGCCCTGGCAAGTTTAGGCTGGCAGATGAGTCAAGCATCTATGGAATAACAAACGGAAATTCAGAAAAAAAAAAAAGGCTCTACCTTCTTAGAAGTTCTCACGCCTGGATGCACGTCGGTTCTGCTCCTTCTGTGCGGCTTCTTGTTGCTCCTTCTCTCGCTGTCTCTGATGGGATGGTAGCTTCTCGATGCCAGTTGCGGGAGGCGCTGGAGGGGGTGCTTCGGGTTCTGTATCTAGCTCTGGGATTGGGTACTTTGTCTTCCAACCATCTCTACTGTTGGCAACAAAGTCAGTAGGCCTTTGCTCGCTTGCCCTGAACCACTTAAAGTAGTTGTCTCCCCCACCGCCGCCGCCAGCCTTGGGCTGTTCGGCACTGGTACCGGTAGTGTCATCAGCGACGGCTTCAGCGACGCCCGGTTGGGGATTAGGTCTCTTTGCGGTCGCCTGGTTTTTTGCCCTGGGGGCATTGTTGATCTTGCGGTTCTGAGAGGGGCCAGGGCCGTCTCTTGGTGCACCGGCAGTGTGGACAGCATCCTTGGCCGCACGCTCGGAGCCCTGGACATCGTAGTCGTAGTCATCATCTTCAGATACAGGGCCTTGCTTACGGAACTTGGAACCGTTTGGCTTCGCTCCACCCTGTTTGCGGGGCCTAGAGCCATCGCTGCGGTCCTTTGGCCCACCCTGAGAGATATCAGGAGAAATTTGCGGCTGCTTCTTCGGGGCAGGCCTGGGAGCAGAGAACTCCTCTTCCTCGTCATCACCGTCCTGAGAAGACTGAGGTGCAACCTTGGGGCCGCCCAACTTCTCAGCCTTCTTGTTCTGAAACTTTGACGGGCCGGGGGAGGGAAGTTTTGGCTTTGCAGGCTTAGGTTTCTGCTTCTTTTCACCACCACCAGGCTTTGAGGTCTGGGGGCTCTGCTGGTTTGCGCCTTCATCCTCTGCTGGGGTTGGCGCTTGCTTCTTGGAAGAAGGTCGTTGCTGCTTGCCTTGGGGTTGCTTCTTCTCAGATTGCTGCTTGCCCTGGGGTTGCTTCTTCTCGGGTTGCTGTTTGCCCTGGGGTTGCTTCTTCTCGGGTTGCTGCTTGTCCTGGGGTTGCTTCTTCTCGGGTTGCTGCTTGCCCTGGGGTTGCTTCTTCTCGGGTTGCTGCTTGCCCTGGGGTTGCTTCTTCTCGGGTTGCTGCTTGGGAGACTTGCCTGAGGCTTGAGGCTTATCGGATGGCTGTTTGAGGGACGAGCCTTGAGGTTGAGGTTTCTTGCCACTCCTCTGAGGGGCCGGGCGGACCTCGATTTCCTCTTCTTCTTCCTCTTCCTCTTCCTGGATCGGTTGCCTTGGAGAAGGCCGTTTTGGGGCTGCAGGCTTCCGTTGCTGGGGCTGGTCTTGCTGGGGCTGCTGCTTCTTTTTCTTTAGTTCAAGAATGGAATCCGGCACCTTGCCGTTGTTGCTGTTTCGGTAGACTTCTGGGGCGGGACTATTGTCTTTGACAGTGATAGTGGGTTTTGGAGCAGGGCTTTTGGTCTTCTGCTGAGGAAATATAGCAGGGGTATTGGGGGATGTCTGAATCCTTAGAATTGGCTCTTCATCCTCCTCCTCCTGTTCCACAGGGTCTTGGGGACCCAGATTTTTCCTCATACGCTCGATCTTTGCTGGGTCCACAGTCTTGCCGCCACGGGGAAGAAGTCCCTGGCTCCCGTCAGTTATGATGCTTGATTATGAGTTCATAAGATTTGGAAACTTACATCACGTCTTGCAAGAGTATTGCCATTCTCGATATCCCTGACTTTTGTGAGCACAAGACCTCATGTAGATCGGGATACAACAAACCTGTGAGGGAATACAGAAGCAACAGCCAGCCCAACCAACACGGGCCAAAGGGCAGCCTTGAAGTAGACCATCTTGGACTAAACTGGTAATTGTCGTTGATATGCAAAAGGAAAAAGAAAAAAAGAAAAAAAACTAAAAAAAACTTAAGGGATCGATAGCTCTATCAGGGACAGAGGACCAAAGGGAAATGCTCATGTAGAATCATGGGGGATATATATACCTCCTCCTCGAAAATTAAAATAGACACATGGTGTTTTCTTACAGTGGATATCGGTATGTATGATGTCTGAAAAAGCTCGATCTCGGCCTGGAAATCGGCATCCCGTGTCTCACGGAAGGTTTCGGCTCTGAAGCTTAAGGTAAAATTAGTGGAAGTTTAGCAGGTAAAGTATAGGATATAGAATTGAATGTGGTTGCACGCCAATTGCTAGCCTCAGGAGCCGTCTTGCCAATTGAGATGCGGTGGTATATGGCATATTCAGATTCAGGGTAGAATGTGAGTCCTTGCTCAACGGCGTGTACTCCGATAAATACATATGATTTAAAGATTTTGTATAGCTTTGTGAATTTCACCTCCTTTGCTCTATAGTAGCAAGTATACAGCCGTTCCCGTTATTCGCAATGAAGGACATGGGTGTCCGGCCATAGAGAGTAGGTGCCCATTTTGGACTCCAATGCTTGGCAAGGTTGCTAAGTAGATTAGACGATCTTTCTTCACCACACCACCAACATTCAACACATGGCCGAGATGTCAACCAATTCCTCACCTCCACCTGACTCTCTCATTGATGCTGAGAAGGCCATCCAGTATTGGAATGAAGTTCCAACCTCGCTAGCTGGAATCATGGGGGGATTCCCTCAGGTAAGTGTGCATGCAATTCGACACCCTTACGATTGCGGTGCGACGGAATTTGTCCAGATGAGAGCTTTTTGCTGACCAGCCCGAAGTAGATCAGCCGAATTGACATCCAATCCTCCGCAAACCTCCTCACAAAACTCGGCTTCCGACGGGATCCTAAAGACACTCCAGTTCGGGGTGCCGATTGTGGTGCTGGGTAAAATTGCAACCAAAATATGCCGGCTTCGGCTCGGCTTCGGCTTCGGTTTCGGCTTTGGCTTCAGAGACTCCTGGCTAACCTTTCACGTGAGTTAGCATCGGCCGGATAACCAAAGACCTCCTTACCCGCTTCTGTTCAACAGTCGACATCATCGAGCCAGTGGAAAAATTCACAAGCGCAATTACCGCCGGGGAAGACTTTGCATCATTACGGGAGGCCGGGAGGATCGGGGATGTGTATAATGTCGGCCTAGAGCATTGGAGGCCAAAGGAGGAAGGTTACAGTCTGATTTGGAAGTACGTCACATTCCGAAACTTAAAAATCCGGTCGCACATGTCCATAGCTCTCTCACCACATGCTAATCCCTTTCACAGCCAATGGTGCGTTGGTCACCTCCGCGATGCTGACCTAGTTGCCTACCTGCGCCGCTGCGCAGCAGGCATTTCCGCCCCCAACGGCTTAATCATTGTCAAAGAGAACCTAGCCTCCGGCGCAGAAGACATCTTTGACGATCAAGACAGCAGTGTTACTCGTACAGAGGCGAAATTCAAGAGATTATTCAAGGAGGCAGGACTTGTGATTGTGAAGGAGGAAATACAAAGGGGATTTCCAGCGAGCTTGGGACTGTTTAAGGTCAAGACTTTTGCGCTGAGGCCGGAGGGGTGGACTGTGGGTGGAGGAAGCAAGTAAAAGGGGGCCAGTGGGGTGCGGCAACCAGGGGAATTGAGGCACAAATCGCCAGCCTAGTCATAACATATCAGAGCGCAATGATTTCAGGGTAATGCATAGGTTTCATTTACAGCTCTAAATTTCCATATAATTCCAAAATACACTAAGATTTAACGTAAGAATACTAGGTTTTACATCGAAACACTTAGTATCCTCCTAGACCTATGAACATCTCCCGCAGTAATACACATGACGCTTTACAAACTGCCATCCGTTGCCTAACCCCAGTCATTTTCTCAGCATGCCCTTCACAAACAAAAACAAAAAAAGAAGGTCGGTACTAGAAAGACTCGAACTTTCAACCTCCCGGTATGCGAAACCCAAATTCATTCACGAGAGAGAACCTGAGCTTAACAGCCGGACGCGCTAACCAATTGCGCCATAGAACCGTGCGATGGACGAACTGAGGCTGGGAATAAATATAATCGTAATAGGTAGATAAATGGAGTGCGTCGTCAGCTGTTGTCAACATTGTGGCGTTACCCTGAATCTGAATGTAGTTTATTCGGCCAAGGAGCGTTTGGAAAGGGTTCACGGTCCAGGTGAGTTGCTCATCCCCTCGGAAGTAACGAAGGTTATACATTTAAAACATTATAATAATATATATTGCACTATACGGAGCACATACAAAGACAAACTATTATCAACCCATAACGCCCATATTGATGTAATCATTAACTTAGTATACAGCTCTACAGAGCCGAGCTTCCTCACTTCACCTTACCTCACATCACATCACCGCCTTCCCCTCCCCACCCACTCCCACCTTTTTCAACTTCCAGCACCCTCCTCATAACGTCCCTCTTCCACTCCAGGTACCCCACCTTCTTCTTCTCACCCAGATAGTCCACCCTATCCTGCAACATCCTCCCAATCCCCGCACCCCCACTATGGTCTGCATTCCCCCTACCACCCACTCTTCCATTACTCCTCGCTCCACCGATATTAGCCCTCTGCCGCCTCGGTCGTGCTTTATCTGGATCAACCCATGGCTCGAATTCTGTAGCTTCATCGGCTGTCTGTATTGGGGGGAGATCATCAGGTGGATGAGAAGGAGACCAGATCGGTACGGTGCCGAGCCAGGCTACGGCTTTTGAGTCTGCCATGAGGGCGTTGAGGGCTTCGTCCACGTCGCTGGGGATGATTTTAACTCGTACAGGGCCTTTGCGGGGGACTTTAGATAGGTCTTTCCTTGAGAAGGCCTTGGTTTTGGTTGGGGTACCGGATTTTGTGGTGGCTGCGCAGCCCCAGTCGGAGCTGACTTCCTCAAGGACAATGCACAGTTGAGCACGTTGCCGTGTGTATATTTCCCCCGTAATTTCTTTCCCCGAGAGCTTCGATGTCGCGAGGATGTATATTGCGGAGAGGGTCGCCATTGTATTTATTGTGTCTAGTGGCGTGGTGGGGGTTGATAGCTCAATTGCTTTTGTAGCGGCAAGAACATGTTTGTATACGGTAGCGGCTGGGGGTGAAGTGGTGTTGGGGGCGGGTGCGAGGGCCTCGTTGGTGCATACTCGGACGACGAGGTCAGGAAGTGGGTCTGAGGTGGGGAGGCCTTGGTTTGACGTGGGGCCGCGCCGGACGGTACGGGGGGTACGGGGAGCTGCAGGAGGAAGTCTTTTGGCGGGAGGAAGTCTTTTGGTGGGACTAGGTTGGAGGGAGCCAGAGGCGGGGAGAGCGTTGGAGAATTGAGTGTGGAGGAGGTTATACTGTCGTTTTGGGAGAGGGGGTCGAGGTTCGACGGGGGGGAGGTCGAGGGGGACTCGTAGCCTGTATCCCAAGAATTAGCGACTGTGTTAAGTCACAGAAGAATATGAGTGGAATGAGGGGTACACCGTACCGCTCACAAGCAATATGCGCACATAGATACGCCCTGGCACTTTCCTCCTCTGGCTTTAACGCCCCAACTCTCTGTCGGGAGAGCGCGAGTAGGGAAGCTGCCATATTCACCAGCTCAGATGGGATGGGTCCCGTAAGTGTCGGGATGAGCCCCGTAAGGGTCGTTTCAAGAGATCTATTCATCTCTGCTCCTCGTGTCGGCTTGTCCGATTCGTGAAAGCCGCTTGTTTTTGTTTTGTTACCAGGGTCTCGAGCATAAGCTTAGAGCCTACCGTGCCGTGCCAAGACTTCGTAATTCAATGTCTTGGCAGGTGCACGACACCACGTTTCCTTTAGAGCTTTGAGCGTGGGTTTCGGAATTCATTCAGTGCAGTGCAGCGAACAAAGTTGCAATTATCCACCGAAACACCACCCCAGGATTATCGAACGCAAGCGAGTTCAAAAACCTATACTCGGCGGATTTCCAGAATGCGGTGGGGAATAATAGCTACGGCGGTTGCCGGATTGGTGGGGGTTGTTGCGGCTCAGGATGCCGGGGAGAAGCAGGCGAGGCCGAAGTGGAATATCTCTGGGGCGAAGCTGGTGATGGCGAAGAAAGGGGATACGGCTCCGAGTGTGTCGGAAGAGTATGTTATTCAGTCACTCTCTCCCCGTTTGATACATACATGATTCTCAATTGTCAATTCCTGGAGGTGACGAATGTAGCTAACCACATTTCTTGCCCCACAGATTTACCATCGAGAAACCCGTTTCTACTCCCATAGCTCTCTCTTCTGGGGAAGTCCTCCGATTGTCCATGACAGTCAAAGCCGGTGATGAAGCCCGGGCTCCCCACCAAGCATACCTCTATGTGCAACAAGCCGATACCGGCATCGAGACGTTCTTCCCCTTCGACATCACCCCAACAACCGCTAAAGCCAAGCTCGAAATCGTATGACCCACTCCAATGTCTCCTCCAATCCTACTCAATCCCAATGAATCAGCTAACCCCTCTTGCTAATCCCTCTCCAGACCCAAAAAGACCTCCCCCCGTCCTTCATTGCCTCCTCCTCCCCCCTAAAACTCAGCATGGCCATTGGCGACTTCACCGAAAACATCATATCCATCTTCATCCCCGTTGCGCAAGTCCAGCTCAACTACGACACCATGACCGTCTCCGCTGCAAAGAAGTCTCTTGGGGAGCCTCCCGTCGTATATGCACCCCTCCCTGAACTCCGCCACACATTCCGCCCGGATCCAAAAAACCCGCCAAAGATCGTCACCCTTATTTTCCTTGGAGCTGTAGGTGCGGCATTGGTGGGGTTGTTTGGTGTTGTGAGTTATCCCACGCTTCGTATGTAGATGGATGTTTACTGAATGATGGTACGCAGTGGGCCGCCCTCGGAGCAAATCTCTCCGCCTTCCCGAAAGCGCTCGGTTCAGCGCCATTGTCTCATCCGGCTTTCCTTGCGAGCTTGCTGGCGCTGGAGTGGGTCTTCGTGATGTATTACTTGAAGTGGAACTTGTTCCAGACTTTGACTGCGGCGATTATTATTGGTCCAGTTGCGTTCTACAGCGGGATTAGGGCATTGAGAGAGGTTAGAGCAAGGAGACTTAAAGGGGAGCGCTAAGGATGGTTAGAAAGCCGACTGTGGATGTTGATACCCGAGAAGTAAAGAATAATGAGAAGCAAAGAAGAAACCCAGTTCTGCAGCGATAGAGCATATAGCAGATTCTATGTAGTTATTTCTGATAATTTTTTATGTGAAACAGTAATCCACTCGATCACTTAGGCCGGTGCCTGCTAAACCATAGATCTTCAAGTACTAGAGTTGACTGGTCTCGGCCTCAACTTGTACTATTTGATTCTCACCGTTAATTTTGCATCTTGCGTTGAAAATAGTTCCATTGACGATCTCACATTTCAACATCCACACTAAAAATCCCACATCGAGGAGCTCTCAAAGCTATCAAACCTAGCCTCGTGCCCATTAAACCGTATCGTATATTCCCATAAAAGCCAGTTGCCCCCAATATCATATTTAACAGAGCAATTTGAAACTCCTAACCACGTACAAACTCCTATAAAAAACCCCAGAGGTTAAACCAGCCCCTGGGCTACCCATCAAATAAATCGGTTTGGGCACGAGAACACCCCACCCATGAACAAGGAAAACAAATCATATCATTTAATTCCTATCTATTGTCAGCATACTTTCACCCCTCCGCCTCAAACCCCATCTCCTCCTCCACAATCCTCCCAAACGTCTCACTCTCCGACCTCGGGAAATGTTTAAACGTCGCCCCGTCCGCATTCTTGACCGCTTCGGGGAGATTGCTGCACCACGCACATAAATTAGCCTAATTCGACACATCAGAAGGGGGAATCGTACTCTACCCTGCCCTCAACAAGATACCCCTGCGCCTCCAACTCCCTGGCGAGCTCCTTCTGATGGTTATCCATCAAGTCCTCGTTCGGCACCACCACTAGCCGCTTTACATGCCGTAGTGCATCGAGGATGCTGCCCGACCCGGCATGACTGATTATTAGATCTGAGGCAGCGATCTCAGTCGACAGATTGGCGCTGAGATCGAATGCGGTGATTTTGAGTGGGGTAGAGGTAGTGGTGGTGGAGTGGTTGGTGAGATTAGAGAGGAGGGATTGGCCAGAGGGGGTGCCGCCGAAGTTGGTGGGCGTGAGGCCGTGCTGGATGAGGAGGTGGGAGTAGCCGAGGGAGGAAAGAGTAGCCAGGAAGGTGGGGTCGAGGGAGGCGCTGATGAGCGCGGGGAAGGGGGCAGTGGCGCCGACGGTGACCAGCGCGGTCTTGCGGGGGGGGGACATGATGGTGTTCCTGGAGATGGAGGAGATGGAGGAGATGGATGCTTCAGGCAGGTACCTGAGTTGTACGCGGGGTCGGGAGGCTCCGAATGTCATTCATGGCGAATGGCGGTGACTCCCGGGCATCTTGGCGGTTTGCTCCATAGTTTTGTTGTGGGTGATTGAGACATTGTGAGCTGGCAGGCTCAGGTACCTGTCAATGAAACTCAGACCTTCATTAAATACTTAAGTAGTCACTTCTCCACAATTCCTGCAGATGTAGGTGAGGCGCGCAAAAGTAACTACGTGCTCTAGAGAATACAACAGAATTCATTCCGGGGCCGCCCATCGAAACCTTGCGTGCAATTGAGCTGAGTACCTTCTGAGCTCCCGGGCCGAATATCACTGACATTCGATACCCGACACTCAAACGTCACTATTCCGAGACGAAACCCTCCTCCAAGGGATTCGGGAGGATCTGCCTTCCCCGACTATCAACTCCTCTATCTCCTCAAGTAACTTAAACAAGTCTTATGTCCCCCCCATCTCCCCCAACAGAACGACTCAAACACCTCTACAACCACCTTACCTACTCCAAAACCACCACTCCAACCACGCGAGGCACCCACAACCCCTCTACCCCCTCTGATCCATCTTACACCTTCATCGGGACACCCATCTCCCGCCACTCCTCACCCAACTTCAAACCCGCCTCTGCAACACACTCCTCCCCCTCCTCCTCCTCGTCCTCCT